CTCACCAAAGTGGGAGGCAGAACATTTTCTTAATAAGCTTTGTTATGCCAATTGACCTCGATGTCCCCTGAAAACATGGTCCCCAGGCCCCTACCCCTGCTACTCTGTCTCTCGAAGTATTTGATTGTATTCAGGAAACTTCTTAGCTTTGGTTTAGTCCAGTTGTGCTGACTTTCCCTGTAGTGTGTGCTATCGTTCCCTTCACCTAAGATAATTAGGCTGTAATCTTTACAGGAGCAGATCACCAGGTCTTTTCTCCCATGGAGCCATTGCTGGGTTCAAACCGCTGACCTTCCAGTTTGCAGACAAGTGCTTAACCATTACACCACCAGGGCTCCTCTTGTACCCCTACACGCACCTTATTTTGGCATATCAACACATACGACCTTGCTGTAGCATTTAATCACTCTGTGGGTGTACAATTTTTCCCCCTCAACAAAACCATAAGCTTCTGGATGCCATACCCATTGTTTTACACTTTTTCTCAAAACACGATGGTCCTGAGCCTAAAACAGGTACTTAACAAAACCTCTGGCAATGAATGAATGGTTATGTTCTGCCCTCCTGTTTTCCTTAGGTTGTAGATACTCAGGCACTAAACAAAGAGTTGACTATAAACTTACGAGACTCTACAGTTCTTAAAATCATTTTCTTTTGCCAAAAGGGAAAGCTCAATTTCTGCTGTAACTTTTAGGGACTATTGAAAGTTAAAAGTCAGAGAGCTACCAGGAACTTCTAATTCTATAAATAAATGAAAATTAGTTTTAAAAAGGAGTCCCTGGCTGATGCAAATGGTGAATATTCTCAGCTGCTAATCAAAAGGTTGGAGGTTTGAGTCCACCCAGAGGTGCCTCAGAAGAAAGACCCAGTGATCTACTTCCAAAAACTTAGCAGTTGAAAGCCCTGTGGAGCACAGTTCTACTCTGACACACGTGGGGTCGCTATTAGTCAGAATGACTCAGTGGCAACTTTTTTTTTTTTGGGGGGGTGGTAAGTTTATGAAAAACAATGTTATAAATATACCAGTTGTTAAGGAGCACAAATGATTTAGGTAAAGTGTGGAATTGTGGTTTTAGGAATTTCAGACAGAAGTAACAAACAATTCTTCCTTCTCAAATCTTCTCAGAGGGCTCCCCTTCTTCAGCTACTGCTACTTGTCTCCGTCCATCTCCTGTCTTTCAGATCGGGTCCCCTCTTCCTTCTACCTTGTTGTTCATGTCCTTCCTTTGGATTTACTTCCCCAAGGTCTATTTTCTGACTATTGAAAAAAATGAATGGACTATATACATAGATCCTATTTATGCCAAATAATAAAAGAAACATGATTAAATGGCATCTAAGTGATTTTAGACATAAATCTGAAAAGAAATAATCCCTAAAGGTCACCTAGTCCATCTGCCAGCCTCTAGGCGAGATGCCACTTCAACCGTCAAAGGGACATGTGGGTCCTCAGCTTACTGTGTGTCACCACAGCAAGTTGTTGTTTCTTGTTTTGTTTTTT